GTTAGAGTAGAAAAGATCTAGATCATATCAATTCTTTCTTGATTCATTGATAGTAGTTTGTTAACTCCAAAACTCATAACAATGTTAACAATGTTAAAATTTTAATACGTTTTTTTGCAAAAATATAATGATTTTGAAAAAATAATAATCAAAAATAATAAAATATAATTTTCACTATAAATTAGAACTAATTAAATTTAAGTTGTATTCAAAATAGAATAAATTATAATCATATATATTTCCAATAAATATATATTTCAAAACTTGCAAAGTAGCATCTTTGTTGTTTTAAAACTTTCAAATACATAAATTTGATCAATATATTAGCTAAATTAAATATTTTATCAATTTTTACAAGCTCAACCTTCTAATCAAAAATTATATCAATGATAAAAAATTATATCGATGTATTTCACTCTATTATTTATCACTTGATTTTCAAAAAAAAAAATTAAGCAATCTTATTCTCACATTGTTGTTTGTCACTTGATTCATTACAAGATGTAATATAGTTTCAATTTTCATGAATGAAGATTGACAGCATCTTGGTTCAATTTAATTTTAATGATAAATGTGTTTGATTAAATAACTTCAAAATTATTTATGTTATTGTTAGATATTTGGATTTGATTATTGACTTAATCATGCAACTTTGCATAATAGATATTTGACTAATGTATCAAGTATAAAAAATGAATTATGTAAGTAATATATATCAAATATATATATATATATATATATATATATATATTTTACTATATCATTCATTTGACACACTCTCTCATATGCACAAACATTATTTTTTAATCTTTGCAACATAAGAAGAAAAAAGTTGGATATTGTCAATTTCAAAATTCAAGATCTAATCTATTGCAAGATAAATTCAAATCATTCTTCACATCAATAAAAATTCAAATGTGTGATCTGCCCATACAATGATTTCTTGCTTTCATGGATGACGAGCAATATCTGGTTAAGGAGTATCTTTTTGAGCTTGAACGCATTTTCAGGGAGATTGGTACACTTGATAAAGAAAGTTTTGGAAAGCATTCAGCTATACATTGGCTTATCAAAATGACAAGTTTTAAGACTTCTAAACAAACCAAAAAAGATGAAACTTTTGGAAAGCATGGTTACTGTGCACAAGATTAGGTTGTTAAACTATCCGATCAAATTTGAACATGAGCTTAACAAAGTTGAAGTCACCGGTTGATGTGAATGACATATTAATTTTGGTTGATTGAGAGATCTAAAAATGGCTCTGTGCACAAAAGCTGTTGTAAAAGTACATTGTCAAGATTTAAAAATTGGACTCTACATCAAAACAAACTTTGGCCAAGTTGACAAAGCAACATTTGATGAAGAGCAAGACACAAGACCTCGAGAAAAAACAGACCTACAAGTTTCACACCAAAGAACACAAATACATTCTCATTTGTGTAGTGCAAACAAAAATGTATTTGTGCTTTGTTTGCTCAAGATAGAGATTAGTTAATGTAATGCAAACAAATCTCTCTCTACTCTTTCATCTTCTTACTTTCTCTATCAAATGCTGTCAATAAATTGTTCCCCCGACGCTCAAGGCCGGAGGTACAATTCATTTCACTAACCTCAATATTTTGATGCTTTCTCTACTCACTCAAATTCACATTGATCACTCTTACGCCCAATCTCGAAATACAACAACAACTCAATCCAATATATTTTCTGCTGGAATATTGATTAAATTCAACATTCATGCTAGTGTTTGCAACAATGTTGATAAGGCTATCGCTCTTTGGAAAGAGTTAAATATGTGTAGTACTCCCAAGAAAATTTTGATCATTGCTCATGCGCTCCAAAATTCATTAGTTAGTAAGTTCACTATTACAATTGATAGATGGCTCTACAAACGATTAGAATGTGACTCTGATCTAGATGGTAGAACAGAATCTTCCCACACGACGGGTGCAGCGTTCGGAACTGATCTTCTTTTGACTTCTGCTGTGAAAGTTGTAGATTCGCCCCAATCCTAACTTTATCTTCAAGGTTTTAAGTTGAGCGTGGATGTTCTAAGGTATCTATTAAAGGTGCATCTCTCCAACAAGTGGTTTCAAATAATGATCGGCTTGTGATTCTTGGTTGAGCTGTGAGACTTTTTGTTTGTGCCCTCTCGCGTAGCTCTTCTCAGTCAAGTTCGTTTCTGTGATTTTTTTGCTTAGATGAGTGGATGCTCTTTCGGGGATTGGGTAACATGAGCCCTTGCTTCGTGAATTTTATGTGTTTGAACTTCTAGACTATTCAGGCTCGATGGACTTGTGGCCGTTCAAGTTTATTTTTACGTGTTTCTGTTGTTCTTCTTCTGACTCGGGGTTTGCTTTGGGCACGGTCATTTCTTGCTCTTTGGTCTATTATCTTTTCTAGGTTGCTCTTGTTTGATAGTCACTGTATCTGTAGTTTACTTCTATTTTGTATTTGCGCTTTTGCGCCAGAAATTGAATGCATGCTGCAGTTTCTGCAGATTTTCATCAATATATTTTCTGCTCTCACCCATGTAGTTGCGGCCAATCCATGTTAACATTCTTTGATGCCAATTTTTGGAAATGTATCATGAAAAAAAGAAGATAATCCACAAGCATAAACAACAAAACGTTGACACGAGTAAGCGCAAAAGCATGTGGTTGGACAATCTATGCTCACAAAAATTTTAATAAATTTAATTTAATGAAAGACTAAAAGTTTCGTCAAGAGCTTTTCAGTAGCTTTTCTTCATCATGAAAAAATAATCTCACACACTAATTCTTACTTAAGATATGTAGATAGATTACATTGGAGTAGCTATCAAGCAGAAGTAGTGGAAAATTAAAAATCATTGAAGAAACAAACTTTCAAAGCTTTTAAATTTGCCACTCCTCGATATTAGGTTATGATACTTTGTATAAATAAACTGTACTGATGATGATGGAGATCAGAAGTTGATGTTCATCAATAAAAAATTTTGAAAGTATTTGTTTTGTATTATGTATGAAAGAAGTCAAATAGCAAATCTGAATAATTGGTTTCATCGTAAGATTATTTCAGTTCGTAAATAGGATCACTAGTATTTTCTACATGCGTACAACTTTCTGACTCAAATATGAATAAAGAGCAATTTGAACTGCTTGTCTTCTTATCTAAGACAAAGATCTACGTGAAACAACTTAGTAGTTTTCATTCATCAGATTTTGTTGCGGAGTCGGAACGTATTTTATTTAATACATATAAAATTTGCATTATATCTTGATTTCATGTGAGAGTGCATGGTTGCAAGAAGAATTTTGGCTTGTCTTCTCAAGGTATTGCAATAGTCTGCTGGAGTAATACATTTTGTAGTTTTTGAATATGTCGTTACTAATGTCTTGCACAGATCTTAAGCTCAATGTTGAATCTAGCATGGACTCAGAGCGATCTCCTCCCTCGAATATTTGATGTCGATGGTCAAGCTTAAAAGACATGCAAAGTAGCAACATGCATCAATGAAGTTGTAGTTGAAGCCGGCAAGTCCGTGAAACACAATGCGGTGAAATTAGCCAAGAATATAGGCCTCAAATTCAAGATACCCAAACACTAGAATTGCTTTCTTTCTCACCGATGCTCAATCCTCTTGGTGTTGACGCACAACGTATTTCACATCGGCGTCTTGGAATTTAGACTATTCAACATCCGTCGCCGTCACCGTTCCTACAGGCAACACGCGTTCAGTACCGCAATGACGCTAATCGCATCACTTTTTCCGCCGTCGTAGTCCACACGCATTGATTTTCTCTCGTTAGTCGTTTTTGCCACTCGTCAAAACTCGAACTTTCGCTCAACCTCAAACACGCACCACCTGCCATCGTTCAATATTTTGGCACATGGAAATCGAAAACGAAAACGCAAACGCGCCTTCTGCCGTTGTCAAAGCTCTCCGCACATCAATCCTCTTGCTAGACCACTTGTTCAACATTGTCACTCTGGAAAGCTCGCGGATTCCTGTCACTAGTACACTTCAGGCACTGTTATCGATTTGTTAATCCTGATCTTCATACAAAATGACAAAGGGAATAGAAATGCCTGATTCACTTCAGGAGCCCAGGAAGACACAGAGTCCTTTGCTAAGAATCATAATTTATGTCTTGAAGAATGTCTGCCAACATTCTTGTATAGCTGTAACTAATTTAATATACTTAAGTATAATCAACTTAACTAAAATAAGCAAAAATATTAACTGCATTCTAACGGGGTTATTTATTTAACAATATTTTAAATAGTGTGTTCATGGAATTGATTTTAATACTGACTTCTAGTCCACTACTTCGCACAGAAAGTCAATCATCTAGCCAGCACTTCACTATGTATAGAAATAAAAGCCACGATATCATCATAGTATCTCTTCTGAGTCTTAGATGAATTTTGACCCAAGGGGACCTACGAATATTGCTTGCATGCACGATGGATAGGGAATGATTTCTCTTTAAAGTCCAAAACTTCAATTACAGAGACAGTAATCCACATAAACCAAAGTAGGGTTCATGATTTCGATCCACGATCTAAGAGGAGACTGATTTTTACGTGTGTGGAGCCTTCTGCCATTGGCATTTGGATGATGATCACATGTTGAAAAGGAGGATATAGACGACAGAGCGCCAGTGTACGATACACAATGTACCGTATGAGTAAGAGGGAAGGTCGTAGGAAACTTGTCGAGAAGTGCAGTTGAAGGTTGAAGGAGAAGATTCTTCGTATCATTACGTGAAAAGATAAAGCAGCTCCTGACCGTCCAGTGTAGGTACGGTAGGGCCAGGCCAGGCCCGGACCTGACCTACGATGATCAATCAATGCAGAGACTTATAACGTGAGCATTGAGCCTCGTGGCCCAGGCGCATTTATGGCGCCAGTGCTGGACAGATAATGTGAATGGTCTATTATGGCATGCTTGTAACTGACTAGCTCAAGAGAAATCCCCATGACTCCTCGTTCAAACCTCGATCTGGAATGTTGACTGGCGGCTTCCCGTTCTTACGTTTAGCGCTGGTGGACGAGATGACTCGGGCACGAGTTTCCAGCCCTTCACCCATCTCGAACTGAACGACTCCCCCTAAAGTCGCGACACAACAACAGAAGTGTCTCTCTATAAATGCCGGCTCCTACCAGCAGACAGAGAAAGGCCGGGGCTCCATCTTGGCGGGAGCTTATTCGTTCTACAGCACAAGGTTTTGAAACTGTATTATATTACACTCGGAGCAACTGCCGCATGGTCCACTGTCAGGTGCGCATGTCAGATCTCGAGTACGGTAATGAGACGGAATCGACTCATTAACAAGTGTCTGAACAGCTCCTGAGAGAAGGAGCTGGCATGATTTAGATTGACGCTCATTGAAATAGTGCTCTTGACACGAGAGAAGCTGATGAGAGTGACGGGGTGGGGGCTCGATGGGAGACGCGAGATGGCCTAAATAGTTCTCTCGCACAGAGAACTCTCCAGTGGAGAGCGGGCAGGTCGAGGACATCGAACAAGTGAGGACTAGGCATAAATCGGCATTGAATAGCTCGGAATTGACGTCAAATGCAGCGCAGTCATTGGGATAATAGGAACTGAGGGGAACGCGTGAACGGACGCATGACATGCACGCACTCATGCAAAGAGTAGGGGCGGTGGTGGAGGTGCCGGACGAAGGTGGAGGCGGCGAGGGTGAAGCGAGCGAAAGAACGAATCCGGAAACGATGCCCATGCTGTGGAGCTCCCAGAACCAACGGTATGCGCACGCGAGAACGAGTGAGAGCGCGAGAGGTCGGGGTAGGAGGGGTAGGAGTGATGGAAATCGTTCTGAGAGTCTGCTCAGTCGGTCCTCGTTTCGGAGTTTTTTTCGCAGCTGACTGATGGGATGCAGGAAAGACGAACGGGAGCTGGCCCAGTTCTTGAGTTCGCTGTAGGCAAGCGGGAAGAGGAGCGGACGAAGCCAACGAAGCCAACAAGCAGGCAGGCAAGAAGGCGCGAAGCACGAGCAGGAGGAGGAGCTATGGAGGACTCGCAGGTGCGGGGGAGGTGTGGGCAACGTCGAGGCCTCGTGAGAAATTTTCTGTTTCTGCAGTCGCTGTTCATGACGGCCATGGTATTGTGCGAAGCACAGCGGTCCGCGAGTCTGGCGGGCGACAGCCAGGTTCTCACAGAATTTCGCGCAGCTATCGTTGACGACTCGGTCAAAGGGTGTCTCGCAAATTGGACCGACTCTGTGCCCGTCTGCTCGTGGTACGGGGTTGCGTGCTCTCGGATAGGAGGAGGAAGCGAGAAATCTCGCCAGCGGGTTACTGGCATCCAGCTCGGAGAATGTGGCATGACCGGAGTTTTTTCAGCAGCCATTGCCAAACTTCCGTACCTTGAGACGGTGGAGCTGTTTAGCAACAACCTGTCCGGAACAATTCCACCAGAGCTCGGCTCTCTCAGCAGGTTGAAAGCGTTTGTCATCGGCGAAAATAGGCTGACAGGCGAAATACCGAGTAGTCTCACGAATTGCACAAGGCTCGAAAGGTTGGGGTTAGCCGGGAACATGCTCGAGGGTCGTCTGCCTGCCGAGATTTCGCGTTTGAAACACCTCGCATTTCTGAACTTGCAGTTCAACTTTTTCAACGGATCGATACCGTCCGAATACGGGCTTCTCACGAATCTGAGCATTCTGCTGATGCAAAACAACCAGCTCGTCGGGTCCATTCCTGCATCGTTCGGAAATCTGACCAGTCTTACAGACCTTGAGCTCGATAACAATTTTCTCACAGGTTCACTTCCCCCGGAGATTGGCAAGTGCTCGAATCTCCAGATTCTCCATGTGCGGAACAACTCCTTGACTGGGTCCATACCTGAAGAATTAAGCAACCTGGCTCAATTGACGAGCCTCGACCTCATGGCCAACAATCTGTCCGGCATTCTTCCTGCGGCCCTGGGAAACCTCTCGCTGCTCACGTTCTTCGACGCGAGCTCCAACCAGTTATCGGGGCCGCTGTCTCTGCAACCGGGTCATTTCCCTTCTCTCGAGTATTTCTACTTGAGTGCCAACCGCATGTCGGGGACTCTTCCTGAAGCGCTCGGAAGCCTGCCCGCTCTCAGACACATCTATGCGGACACCAACAAGTTTCATGGCGGCGTTCCGGATTTGGGCAAATGCGAGAACTTGACCGACCTGATTTTGTACGGGAACATGCTGAACGGCAGCATCAACCCAACGATTGGCCAGAACAAGAACTTGGAGACCTTTTACGCCTACGAGAATCAGCTGACAGGCGGTATCCCCCCCGAAATCGGGCATTGTACTCACCTCAAAAACCTCGACTTGGATATGAACAATTTAACAGGACCCATTCCGCCAGAATTGGGTAATTTGACGTTGGTTGTGTTTCTGAATTTTTACAAGAACTTTTTGACAGGTCCCATTCCTCCCGAGATGGGCAAGATGACCATGATGGAGAATCTGACCCTTTCTGATAACCAGCTCACCGGGACTATCCCTCCAGAGCTCGGTAGGATACACAGTCTGAAAACCCTTCTGCTATACCAGAACCGGCTGGAAGGAAGCATTCCATCGACATTGTCGAACTGCAAGAACCTCTCCATCGTCAACTTCTCGGGGAATAAGCTGTCTGGGGTTATCGCAGGGTTCGACCAGCTCTCGCCATGCAGATTAGAGGTCATGGACTTGTCCAATAACAGCCTGACTGGACCCATCCCGCCACTGTGGGGAGGCTGCCAGGGCCTCCGCAGATTCAGGCTCCACAACAACAGGCTGACAGGGACGATTCCAGCCACATTTGCGAATTTCACGGCCCTGGAGCTGCTGGACGTCAGCAGCAACGATTTGCATGGGGAGATACCAGTGGCGCTGCTCACAGGGAGCCCAGCGCTCGGGGAACTAGACCTTTCGCGCAACAATTTGGTCGGACTGATTCCCTCGCAAATCGATCAGCTTGGGAAGTTACAGGTGTTAGACTTGTCGTGGAACCGATTGACCGGCAGAATTCCTCCCGAGATTGGCAACATTCCCAAGCTCTCCGACCTGCGGCTCAACAACAATGCGCTAGGCGGTGTAATCCCGACGGAGGTTGGCAACCTCAGCGCCTTGACAGGCCTCAAGCTCCAGAGTAACCAACTGGAGGGAGTGATTCCCGCTGCTCTGAGCAGCTGTGTGAATCTCATCGAGCTGCGGCTGGGCAACAATCGTCTGTCGGGTGCCATTCCTGCGGGACTCGGAAGCCTGTACAGCCTCTCGGTCATGCTGGACCTGGGCAGCAACAGCTTGACGGGGTCGATTCCTCCGGCGTTCCAGCATCTCGACAAGCTCGAAAGGCTGAACTTGTCGAGTAACTTCCTCTCGGGCCGAGTTCCCGCCGTGCTGGGATCGCTGGTCAGTCTTACGGAGCTGAATATATCGAACAATCAGCTGGTGGGGCCTCTTCCTGAGTCTCAGGTGATCGAGCGGATGAATGTTAGCTGCTTTTTAGGGAACACGGGCCTCTGCGGGCCGCCTCTGGCTCAGTGTCAAGTTGTCCTGCAACCCAGTGAAGGTCTGTCTGGGCTGGAAATATCTATGATTGTTTTGGCTGTCGTGGGTTTCGTCATGTTTGTGGCGGGTATCGCGCTCCTGTGCTACAGAGCCAGGCAACGAGATCCGGTTATGATCATCCCCCAAGGGAAGCGAGCCAGCAGCTTCAACTTGAAAGTGCGGTTTAATAATCGGAGGAGGAAGATGACCTTCAATGAAATCATGAAGGCAACAGACAACCTTCATGAGAGTAATTTGATAGGGAAGGGAGGATACGGGCTCGTATACAAGGCAGTCATGCCGTCGGGAGAAATTCTGGCTGTGAAAAAAGTTGTGTTCCACGACGACGACTCCAGCATCGATAAGAGTTTCATTCGCGAGGTCGAGACACTGGGTAGGATCCGGCATCGCCATCTGCTCAACCTGATCGGTTTCTGTTCTTACAATGGAGTCAGCCTCTTGGTTTACGAGTACATGGCCAATGGGAGCTTGGCAGACATCTTGTATCTGGACCCGACCATGCTCCCCCACGGTATCGCTCAGGAACTCCGGAAGAAACAGCAAGCTCTGGACTGGGGCACGAGATATGACATCGCTGTCGCAGTAGCCGAGGGCCTCGCGTACCTGCACCATGATTGTTCTCCCCCGATCATTCACAGAGATATCAAGTCCTCCAATATTCTGCTGGACTCCGATATGATCGCCCATGTCGGTGACTTCGGCCTGGCCAAGATTCTCGAAGCTGGAAGACTCGGCGAGTCCATGTCGATCATCGCAGGGTCCTACGGCTACATTGCACCAGGTACGGAGCCGTCTTCCGTCTAACTCACTTCACCGATCCGCTCGGATTCGTCATCTCTATCAATAAGGTTGCAGATCTGTCGTCATGTCTGTTGCGGTCGTTGCAGCCTTTGCATGTCTGGCCGTCTTGCCTTTCTGGGATACGCCCCGCTAACAGCAGTCCTGGTGCGCCTGACAGAATATTCGTACACCATGCGAGCATCGGAGAAGAGCGATGTGTACAGCTTCGGAGTTGTGTTGCTCGAGCTGATCACCGGCCGAGGTCCCATCGACCAAAGTTTTCCTGATGGAGTGGATATCGTGGCTTGGGTTAGGTCGTGCATAATTGAAAAGAAACAGCTGGACGAGGTTCTGGATACGAGGCTCGCCACTCCTTTAACCGCCACTCTGTTAGAAATTCTCCTAGTGCTCAAGACTGCTCTGCAGTGCACGAGCCCCGTCCCCGCCGAGAGGCCCTCCATGAGGGACAATGTCATCAAACTCATCCATGCTCGAGAAGGTGTTTTAGAAAGTGCGTCTTCTCCGGAAGCCGCGGCTTTGACCGGAAAAGTAGCACTCGCCAACGTCCTCGATGCCGAATGGGATTGTATACCCAAAAGTACTGCATCTAGTCCCACTCCTTAGCCATTGCGGCTCCAGACCCTGCCCTTACTTCCTTTCCACTTTACTGTAAATATTATGCCTTTTTTTCCTGGAAAGGTGTACCTGCTTAGCGACACGGGGGTCCCAATCTCAACAAGCAATTTCTTTCCTTCAACACTTTTGTAAAGTGTATCCATCTTTATTATCTCTGTTCCCATGTGCATGTGCGGCTCAGCTCAACTGGCTTGGATCCATAGATGCTGCCCTGCTGTCGTCACTTGCGAGATTCCCGAATTTTATTTTCGAAGTTTCTGAATGTGCACAGATCCTTCTTATTTCCAGAGCTTAGCGCCGAACCTGGTCTGTAACCCGCAGATTCGGGAAGGGCCTTAGTATGAAGCTCTGGGTGTCTAATTTCGACTGAGCTGCACGTGAATTTCGACGGCGTTTGGACATACTGACATGTGAAGATCAACTGCGTAAGCTTGGAACCGAAAGTTAACAAATTTGCTTCATCACGGATGAAGTTAGTAACAAGTAGAGGTCAATAACTCGCCACTCGTTCATCAGGTCGGTAGATAACTCAATCAGGTTCCAAGTCACGGATTCTGAGCTAAGTTTATGATGGAGCAAATGTCGAGAAGTGTCCACCAGTCCTTGGGGAAGTAACGCGGCATACATAACTTCCTGCCACCACTTGACTCTTCCAAAAATGCCGCTCAGAAACATTCGTAAACGAAACACAGCACGTTTCCGGCAGAAAACATTTCGTAAACGAAACACAGCACGTTTCTACAGAAAACAATTCGTAAACGAAACATAGCACGTGTCCACAGAAAATGTTTCAGCCCGTCGAAATCTGTCTGACTTACTGAAGTGCGCAGCAGCAACACAGCGAACGCTGCCTGCCTGGCCTGCCTATGCAGGCAGCGGCGACTAAAGCGGAGAAAGACAAGCCGGGTTCAGACTAACCCTTCCGTCCGTCCTTCCTTCATTCGTCTCGGCTTGGCTCCACCGGTTTTCCTTCTTCGCAAGAAACTGTCTTGTACTTGAGGTCTTATTGAGATCGTCTCGGCTTGCCTCCACCGGTTTTCCTTCTTCGCAAGAAACTGTCTTGTACTTGAGGTCTTATTGAGATCGTCTCGGCTTGCCTCCACCGGTTTTCCTTCTTCGCAAGAAACTGTCTTGTACTTGACGTCTTATTGAGATCGTTTCGAAAATCACCTTGCCTTCATTCGTCTCGGCTTGGTTCCTCCGGTTTTCCTTCTTCTCAAGAAACTGTCTTGTACTTGAGGTCTTGTTGAGATCGTTTCGAAAATCACTACGCTCCTTATGTAATTTGTTCCTGCGTCAGATCAGTACTCGAAGCACTCAGTCCGGGACTCGGCCCTGAACTGAGAGCTTCGAATACTGATTTGAGTGCAGTGGAGTAAAGGTAACCTCATTCGAGCCTACTTAACAGTCATCCAAACCCAATATCAGCCCCCGATGGGTTGAGCACAGTGAAAGTGAAGGTTCAACGTTTGAAGAGCTGCTGCAAGATAAGTAGCTCTTCAGGTCTTCAGCCAATCTTGCAAACACCACGTAGTGCTGATTTTCTTCCGGGTTCTCCATCACCTGAAACGCCTCTCGTCGACTCGGTTCAGCCACAAGTGGGTACACTACTTGCTGCTCTGTGATCCGCACCGCCTTGTCTAGAGTTTTGTTAAACAGACAGTGAAGGTGGAGAATGGAATCGATCCAGGTGGTGCAATTCTTATGTAACCTAGGGCCCAAGATACTCGAGAAACATCGAGTACAATTTGTTTGGGTACCGTGATCGTGCCTTGAAATTTGAAAACTCGAAACTCGGAAAGGACGCAGACGCTGCCTTTCCGAGTTCCGAGTTTTCAAATTTCACTAATTTGAAATTTGCCCGACTCGTTGTGGCACCGGGACGCCGCCTTTCCGAGTTCCGAGTTTTCAAATTCGTAAAATTTGAAAACTTCGGTGACCTCCGGTTAACGCACGCTCTTGCTTTAGTATAGAGATGCGGGGGTCGCACTAGGAGAACCTTGCTCTGCACCTCTGAACCTCCATGTGCACAAGCTCTCGCACATTCATTCGCGAGACGAGACGATACCTTGCTCGAGAAAAGTGACCGCCATGTTCCTGCTTTTCATTCGAAAGTAAAATGATGAAGTAAAGGCTCAAAAGCCGATGAATAAGTCCGTCACATGAATTCGTTTATGTTCTCATATTTAGCACACAAAAAACCTCAACGCAGATCCATGTTTGGAGGCTCCTGCGCTCGCGTCAGATCGATTTTAGACAGGCTCTCAGATTGAGTAACAGGGCCATTCACGTTAGTATATCTTGTGGCAGAAGAAAAGAACTGTTCAGCACTTCACGTCAGTGACATTTGAGAAACTTACATATCCGCTGATTAAGTTCTCATAACCAGTGATAAATAAAAACAAAGATCCCAGGCAGCACTTGAACGTGAAGCACAAATTAATAACGTACAATGCTCTTGCACTGAGCTACTGGCCGTGAAATTAGAAGATCTTGTGGCAGAAAAAAAGAGGAATACTCAGCATTTTTCGTCAATGACAGTTGAGGAGCTTAAACTACCGTTTATTATGTTCTTATAGCAGGTAAATACATACTAGAGCGCATGCAGGACTTCAACCTGCAGCACAGATCCATAAGTTGGAATGCTCTTGCATTGAGCTACTGGGCCGTTAACGTTAAGAGATCTTGTGGCAAAATACAAGAACTGTTCAGGAATTTACGTCAGTCACAGTTGAGGAACTTACATTTGCGTTGATAACGTTCTCATAACCAGTAAAAAAAACCGAGTAAATATATGAATACGTACGACCGGGAACTGCAGAATCAGTGAGCACAAGTTAGGTCAAACATCACAGTTCCTTTGCGTTGAAAGGTCCATGGCAGGCAGACGGTTATCCAATGTCACCAAGCCTTGGTTCTTGACATGAAAGCTCCGAATCCTCAGCAAGCAAGAGTTTGTCAGCAACGACAGAGTATATTTTGAACAGGTTTATGAGAATATGTATCAACCCGATTCGACATTAACAAGCATCTACGAAAGTTGCAGTGGGATAAAACCTTTGAGACATTAAAACATCGCAATTCTACCGAGACACACATTCACTCCAAATCACATCGGTCGTAGATTAGTGGAAAAGAATCCATGAGATGAAATTGACTGTAATCCACGACTAACAGTTAGTAATCAATTTCATAATTAAGGAAAGGCGTTCAAATCTGTACATGTCAACTACTACGAAGCTTGCCCATATACATTTACATTCTTGTTGTGGGCTCATTGCCATCGAAGATAAAGTCTACATCTTTTCGCAAGAAGATAATAAAATCTTTCTTTTCTTTCCCGATATTCAATTGTTACGACATAGTGTAGACCAACCTATGGCCGCTTCCTCACCTCCCAGCTCCTCAAAGAAGTGAGGAGCTAGGGAAAACACAATTCGAACACAAACTTGCACCGAAAGAAGTACAGCCGGAACCAGACAGCAAAGTGGACAGCCTAAATGTCCAGCTCAAATGGCAGAGGCCATGAACTAGCGAATTGCACGATGTCACTGGTCAGCTTAATTGTCAGTCAACATAATAGCATGAATAAAAAATTTCCCTCGTTCAACTTCAAATCCAATGAGGACTCCGCGTAAAAATGTCAAAATTATTTTCTATCACAGATTTGTATGATTTGTTCAATGTAGTAGTGACTATACATTGACCAAACAGAATTCGAGGACGAGAATGTATTGGATGTAACGGTGGTAGAGATTAAGTCCGTTGAAATAATATCTGGATTGAAAGTTGTTGTTCTTAAATATGAAGGTGACACTTTGAAGTTCGCAATGAACTCTAATGCTAGAGTATCAAAGAGTTGAAATTTAGCTATACCACCATAAATGATTGTTGAAGTCATGTGAATTGAGGAAAAATGACATGTTTACAAATATTCTTGAACGGAATGGTCATGGAGTGTATCAATTGGTAACCAACTTCCAATATTAGAGCTTCATACAACTCTAATGTTATAGTGTCAAGGAGTTGACCTGTCGGTATACCACTGCACTTCATTACCTTGATTGTTGATTACTGGAATAGAATGAAAGGGGATTCTTCACATATATTCCTAAACTAAATGCTTAGGAAGTTGATCAGTGTATAACGAAGCTGTAACGTAAACATATGTAAGTCCATAGCTTCATATAAACACCAATGCTAGAGTATCAAACACTTGACTCTTTGACATCCCAGTGTATTTCAATAACTTGATTATTCACGGTCAATTGAATCAAGTCAACGGGCATCTTGACAAATATGATTGAGCTGAGGTGGTTCAATCGACACCCTATGTTTTATATCAGAGTTTCAATATATTTTTGTGAGAAAATATCTGGATAAATTCATTTAATTTTTATTGATTTGTGTAACGAATAAATGCAATCTATGCTTACTATGAAATTTTGATATCTTGATTTATGATATATCAAATCCAAAATCCAATAATGTGTAAAATATTCATCAGTTTCAAATTCAAAAACCAATAATGTGTAAAATATTCATCAGTCATTACAAGAGACTATTATTGTTTGCCAGTGAGTTAGGGCATTGAAATAGCGTGCAGCTAACAAAATAAGTTATCGCAGGCTTATATATTTTACTTAAACAAAAGTGAGTTTACACTAGCTTCTATCCAATGAACCCCCTCGAGACTGACCGAACCTTTCTAAGACACATTGCAATTGAGTCGGCAACCCCCTCGACGCCTGCAGCCCATTGTCAACCATGTTCCAATACGATCTCAAGTTTATTTCGGGTATGAAGTTGGCGGCATTATTTTTTATGTGATTATGGCAAGACCCTATCGAGAGTGTCCGTCGCTTTCTAAGACACTGTGCTAATGAGCTGTCAAATTAATCCCAAAGTAGAGGCTATTTTGGCCCGAAAGTGATAGACACTCTCCACATGATACCAAAAATTATTAAATTATAAAAACTTTTATAAGTTATTTAGTGGATGGACCATCAGAACCTAAACTGCTTGATGTACCCATCAAGTTTTGTTTTACCCTATGGTATCCCAACGACGTCACACCTTTGCGAACTTCTACAAGGTGTTCTTGGACACTAAAGCTCGTATCATATGTTAACTTTAGTGTAACTATGCGATCTCAAATCTTAAAATGATGAATTGTGATAGACATTGACACAAGCTCAGAGAGGTTTTGGGTTTTTGAAAATTTGGTGGACAACAACGGACGTGTGGAATCTATGGAGTAAATTCACATAGAGTGACGTGGAGTACTTGTGAAATTGAGTGTCAGATAATTTTACTAATTTTGGAGCGATGGGGAAATCTCGGACAAAGAAGGGTCTGGTACGATTGCACTGAATGTAAATTTGAGGTATTCACTGATGAATAACAAGGATAGTCTCGTTGTTACAATTCCACTGCCAGCCTCATCTGTTGATAGAAAAACATGTGTGACGTGTACTTTTCCTGGTATTATAGGGTAAAACGAAACTTAAAAGTGTTATAACAAGCAATTTAGGTTCCAATAGATTCCCATCAAATAAATAACTCAAATTTTTATTGAAACATTATCTAAGGTGAGTTGAATGGTGTCTAGTGGATTCTCATACACTAAAATTCAAATTACTTTATGTGAGCCGACAGGGTTCATTTTAATGTATGAGAATACACTAAAATAAAACCTGGTGGCTCCCCATCAAGTAATTTGAATTTCTGGAAGTTCACATCAGCAAATTATCTTTCTAGTTACAACCCTAACTGTGTAGACACTTTCTCGTCCTGGGACCTTACTGATCATTTACGTAAGTATTAGTTGACAATCTGTAATTGTGAAAAAATTACATTTTTCTCACTTCGCTACCACTTTCTCGTCCTGGGACCTTACTGATCATTTACGTAAGTATTAGTTGACAATCTGTAATTGTGAAAAAATTACATTTTTCTCACTTCGCAACCGCTTTCTCGTCCTGGGGCCTTATTATTGTTAATTTACGTAAGTATTAGTTGACAATTTGTGAGTATGAAAAATTTACATTTATTTGAGTTCCAACCTTTCTATACGTTTAACTTCTTCTTCCATGTAAGGACTTTGTTTCGAAAAGACTAAATATTCCTTCCCTACGCTCAGAAAGGTTTGTGGCATTAGAATCCTCAGTTCTGGAATTTATAAAGCTCCATAATCATATTCTTTACCAGCAAGCAGAAACTCTAGACAGTATTCCAGAGAGTAGTCAAAGTGCGCCGTTCACAAGCAGTTGATGTTTCACACGGCTGAGTTCGAATGGTTTGGCTAGTTTAATATGCCATTCTTGTCATTGGTTAACACTCCACTACGTAAAATTATGGCCAACTGACTACTCTTCAAAGTACGTGCGTAGATGAACTGGAAACTGTTCCGTCCAAGCATTATGCACCAAACTAGACGCTCCTCTACAAGTATTCTGTTCCCAGAGTACGAGAACCAGAATTTATAGCGTGTTTAGTCAGAAGCATGGAGCGATTAGTCAGGCAATGAGCAAGAACAGCCAGGGAGTGCAATATGGTCGGAGTTCAACAGCTGGCCACTCACAAACAAGCACGGTTTACCTGTACCCAGATTCCAGCACTGAGCACGATTAAAAGTTATAGATTATGCATGGACAGGCACAAGAAATAACTTGCTCACACACGATGTAATACCCACTGCTGAACAAATGGCATATGGCTGACACAGCCAGAAAGATGACTTATTCGTGGCAGTATTGGAACCCAGGAACCAAATTTGGCCAAATTGAGATATAGTACATGCTTCTCTCCGCCGAGTCAAAGGTATATTCCGAGGGTAGATAAGGATAATCCGGTCGTTGACCCACTTTAACCTCGTCTATTACCATGATATATACTCATGCACGCGAATCGTCCGTCAAGTATGGACAATGGGGACGATTGATTAACATTTCCTCCATACGAATTTCACAGCCAGCAAGCTTGGGCCTTTTTGACAGGCTCTACATGAGCAACCCACTCGGGTTTACTTGACTAAATTCGATTCTTCCTATCTATGAAATACCTACTAGTACTAACAAAAATTGGCCTGCGTGAAATTATACATCAATCTGTTCTTGCAGCTTTCCTCTCGCCTCCCTCCTCGTTTTCCTCAAAGCGCTTGTGCTTACTACCCCTGCCCTCACCACGCTCGTCCCTATCGCGCCTACCATCGCGTCTTCCTCCACCTCTTCCCCTACCGAACTTTCCACCCCTGCGAAGCAAAATCGAGAAATCATCAATTTGAAACCCACCGTGAGAATTTGTTACAGACCGGGGAAAAAAAAGCAGCTCAATGTCTGTCGACAAACTCGAATTACTCGAACCCAATGTCTGTCAACAAAAGAAAATATTAGGACAGAAACGAAGGATAAGCCCTAAAGATCACACCTCCCTCCTCTTCCGCCTCTGTCACCGAAGCCCCCTCTGCCACCTCCCTCCCGTCTCTTTCCCTGACCTTCTCGCAGCTTCTTCCAGTAGTCCTTCTCTGCCTCACCTGTGAAGGAACAATCGACAAGAATCACGGGCATTTGATGGCTTGTCAAAAATAAACTGGGCAGCGTAGGTTTTTAGCTTGCAACTAAATGAAGGGCGAGGGCAGTCACAGAGTGATATCTCAAATTGAGAAACATGGGAAGGGTCCAAATAATAACGTTTATCGTAGATAATCGTCCTCATTTGCACACAAGACGTGGCTATGACCCACAAAAGTTGCACATGCAGAAACAAAACAATCATTAAGTAGCGAAGCCACTGCCTACTCTTGACGAGATTTCAGAACATTGAATAAGTCGGGAATTTGGCAATTGACGGGCAGCCTCACCTTCGACAGCATTCAACACGACGAGGTGCTCCTTAATCACGAAACCTCCGTCTGAAGCCAACACAGCGGCGGCTCTTGCTTTCTGCGATTCCTCCGGCAGGTCGAAACGTACGAACCCAGCTTTATCTCCACGAGAGAAATCTACAAACTGCGATGGACCAAACGGGCAGCCTTCTTTATCAGATTACCACCAGACGTAGTCAAACTGAACAGAAAATCCAAGATTTTACACAATGCTTGTTGCTGTTTATCAGCAACCAAGCAATTTTGACCAACAGCGGACAAACTGAAACCAATCACTATCTTACGTTCAGTCCTCCTTCCACCCGTTCACGAGTCAGTTTCAGGAACATTTAACTACAATCACTACACATCTCCAAATGTATTGGAGCAATTAAGGTCCGTCTTTACATTGATTTTGCCGTAATTCTTCAAGGTTTCTTTGATGTCTTCACGTGAAACTTGCATTTCTGTGTCAACGGCAGCGTCTTTGGTTTCTTCTTCACCAGCCTCCTTATTTGTCTCAACTTTGGCATCATCTGTACTCTCTTCTCCGGCTTTCACCAACTTTGTAAGCGTGAGTGATACGACGGTTCCTTTCGGGTAATCATCGTCATCCTCATCAACCCTGTTCATGCGCATGTTCAGACGGAAAAGATTAAAGCGACATTTGTCGCATCCAAGAGAAAATCACAAACGGCGAGCACAGGGAGAAGAGCTCCTGAAGACCAAGTTTCATTGTTAGTAGAATACCTTCCAGTATCGTGTCTGCCTTTCCCATTGCTCTGCTTAGCTTTCTGGGCATTAATTTCTTGCAATTCTTCAAATGCTTTCCTGCACGTCAATGACGTCACCAATAAGGGAGTTGAATGATAATGAATGCGAGTCTAAACAAGACAATTGTCGCAGTAGGGAATTCCAGTAGCTCCACTCCCGTGAAGATGTATCTCAATGATGTGACTGAGTACTTACTTGGAAATACTTTCCAGCTCGGCGCCCTGAAACGAGAGTTTGAGACCCTTCACTCGTTCGGCTTCCTCCTCAGAAGCAAACTCGACAACCGCATAGCCAGAAAAACTCTTCGCTCCGGCTAGCCTAGGCAATCGCACGCTGTTCACCTAGAATACGCAACTTGTGCTCGTTAGTGTAAACACTATTCTTGGGGTGGTGGCATTAGCACGAGTCGCCCGTCGTCACATACGACTGTCTGATGATAGTGCAGCATAGAGGAAGTTGTGAAGACGAAACATCAACAATAACCAGGTTATGGAAGGTACATATACGCATATGGAAAACATACGCACCTTGCAGTGATCTTTGAAGAACAGCTCCACCTCATCGAGGGTAACATTCCACGGAAACGGATTGATTGCGAGGCTCCGGGCGTCTACTTCAGCTTGAACCTCCGTTGGAGCTTTCAGCTTCTCAACGCGTCCGACTTTCGCACCTGCAAAGTCTCTTACATGAGTCCGCAGGCAATCACCCATGTGAATAATTTCAAATTCACGGCTGTGCCTTACCTGACTGCGCTTTAGCACGCAGAATTTTAGAGAGCGGACACGCCTCACAGCAACTTTGATCCTAGCTTAAGCCAAACTTGACGATGGGACCAATCCAAGAGTATCTCACCATCCTCAGACAACCGAAGAGTAGAGGACTTTCGCAGAACGTCCGCGACTGCAGACGTAATTTCAGCAGGTACAGTATCCGCTCCATGTTCTTTCAAACCGAGGTGACTTCTCATACGCGAGAAGGAACAAATCAGAGGCAAGCTGATCACTTTCTCATTCGGTCAAGGAAGTCTTTTTCCAGGAGTATAACAAACAACAGGTGAAGAAGTATAATATCAACCTTCGGTATACGGACACCGCTCAAAGCTATTCTCGTAACACATACGTTGAAAATGGCAGACCCTGTAGCTGACTTACATTTTCAACACGAATCTGCAACAAAAAATATAAGCGACAAAAATTGGATACATCCATCTTCGGCTTCTTCAATACACTTCAGTAAAAACTTGTCCCCGGGAAGATTGCTATCACTGAAATAAAACTCGACCTGCGGACAATCATGCACACGCACTCAAATTTGTGACAGGAGAACCCTGAAAAAGCCTCATTGACACGACCCTTAAACCCTCCCAGAAACCTCCTCCCAGCGCTTGTTAGCTTGTGAAGTGCGAAGAAATAATCGCGTCAGTTCCAATGACTCCGAATTAAACTTCGCACCAGACATCTCGAATTTTCCTTCAAATTACTTTTTTCACTCATACGTTCCAAGCAACGTTCTGCTAAACCCCTGGAATCTATTAACCACATGCCACATTCTACGCATGAAGCATCTCAACGGAGCAAATTCAAGGGCGTTCACTACCCAGGACACCCCCGTCTACTGAGCACCATGTCACGAATGCTGAGTGATACCTGTCGTAAAATCTTGGCCTGTGCCTCTTCATCTAGCGCACTGGCGCCCATATTTTTAAAAAACACGCACGCAGTGCGAAGATTCTCGAGCAGAACGCAGAGCAGAGACCAGCAGATAGTTTAACAGAATAGGCGACGGGCTCGCTCACTAGAGCAACTTCAAATTCCCTGAAATGATCGACGAGCAAATATGCTTCGTGTATCTGTCCCCGTCAGTCGCCGTGTCGCCAAGACGACGTCTTCAATTCCTTCTCGAGGGGCAGCGATAGGACCAGCGGATATGAAGAGGAAAGGTGAATTGTGAGGGGCGGCTCTGTTTTGAAGCTCCAACCCTAATCCTAACGTTGGTGTGGTAGTTGTATTTTCCCGTTCACCGCACACAGGTAGGACAAGGACAGTTGACATACCACCGAGCAGTCGGGACTCGGGCGACGTCCCTTGAGTACGGTCATTACTGTACAGTACGCATCTGTACCCCACCCGGAATTTACCGGACGGTTTCTGTAGCATCATTTTTACGAGAATCGCATGGTATCGACTCCAGCAGCAGAACCTGTTAGAAGACATCTCCAAAACTCATAGCTTTAGTTTCATTCCATTCATCCGAACCTTGCGTAAGAGCCTGCATGGAATAGCGTTTCCAAAGCTTTCCGAATTACCTCTCACGACGAAGATCCAAGTACTTTCAAAAACTTTGCCAGCAAATTTTCAATGTTTGTTCCTCACCTTTGACTTATCCGTATACATAGTACTGACTCATGTAAACATCAATCTGATAAGTGAGTTATGAATCATGTAACAGAATGTTGTGTCGTGTAAAGTGGAGTAGAGTGCTCATGGTGTGAGTCCTTTAGCCACCTATACTTTGGATGATCCATTAACTGTTAGACTCTCTCAGAAGTTGGATGCTATTGAAGGTGAAATGAGAAATCAACTTGTACAACACTTAGACAAAACTCCAGAGGATAAGGATTCTTCGTCGCAAGAACGTGGAGGAGCATAAATAGATCTCTACTACAAGTGGACGTGAAGCACTTGTGAGCGCAGCAAGACAACACTCTTTGGAATGCCCTACTCTTTCCTTTTCGCCTCGTGTTCCATTTTTGTTCATGTTTTGCATTATTTTGTTTGCGTTGGTCATCAACCAAGGCTCGTTTCCAGTTCTTTTAGCTAGAATTGAACAACTATAAGTTTGAAAAGTCCAATCTTTATTGTGTCAGGATACCCTCACATTAAGTTGTGGTGAACTTCCAAAGCTCAACAAAGCTGAAAACCGAATCGGATAGAAGCAATCCATCATCTTATGTATGTGTGATAAATGAGTTTAGATTAGTAAATTTATTCCACTTTTCACGCTCACCTTAAAAATAATTAAAATAGTAAAGTGCTAATATGGTGAATATTTACATTGGTATGGATTGGACTCATAGTTCATGGTTTGGAGTGATCTGACTGCAAAATATGGTACTTTGGACTATAAACTCGAATTGGAGAGTCTTGAGAGCATTGGCCTAATTGAGGATGACGCTACATCTCTGCAATCTCAAATTCAAATTCAAATTCCATCCTTCAACGTCCTCCAACTCAACTCTACGTAATTTGAAGTAAATTTCTTCCTTTTCTTCACTTTGTTTGCTATTCATGAGTATCATGATCTCCTCGCCTATACCACAACCGTCTCGAGATATTCTTTCTAAACAGTACCACCCGGTTAGAGATATCACGTGGATGTATTTTGATTTGCTATGGATTGCGCTCGGCTTGATCATATACATGGATGAGTCACAAGTCACATCCATGTCACTCCCTCCTCCAAGCATAACTACTCACGTTACACATGAACAGGCGAATGATGAAAAGGTAAATCACATTCTTTTAAAAACGTTTTGCTGCAATCATCTTGTTACGAACAAGGATACGAACCATAAACATTACATAACCCTACCTAGCTCCCCAACCGTTATCTACTGTACTTCAATGTCATTGAACCAATGGTACTCAATCGAGACCGCTTTTAAATTCAAATTACTTTCTCAATTGTCTTGGAGTTTAGATTCATGCATGACAAATACGTTCTAACTCCACTCGAGACAATATCAAGGTAACACACCATATTCTTATATATCCGTGTTAGTCCTAGTGGGACTAATTCCATTAATGCAAGAGATTCATTTAACTTTTGAATTTCCTATTAGCAATAATTGATCGAAATAGAGTATGATGTTCTTTTACTCAACTGCTTGAGTAATGAATATGAAGACTTGATAAAAAAGAGAATATTTAATAAGCATTTTTAATAAATTAAAGTTAAATACAGTGATTTTCTCATACGTAACATACAAACGAAATATTAAAATCATATGTAGTAATAACGTCCTTGTTATATCATTCTACTATATACTAAACATGTCACCATATGTCAACGAATGTTTTTTAATTAACGAGTACTCAAAAATGGCAAGAATAATCAAAAGATTAAAAAAAAATGTTTGATTTGAAATCAATCATAAAACAAAGACCACTCTTTTTATAATAAAATAAAATAGAGTGAACAATAAAAAAAAAGTACACCTGATATCAAGAAACTATTCTGTTTGTATGTGTTCATGTATATTAGCTTGGTTAATTTCAGTTGTTTTGCTCTAACTGTAACACTAAATCTCTCAGACTAGCAAACTAACAACACAAAGACACAAGTATAACGTGGTTCACCCTCAGGGGCTACGTCCACAGATGAATACGCTCGAGAAAGTTTACTACTTCAAGTGAGTTCTTCTTATCACTCTCATGGTATATATATCCAAGATAGTCAACCACTATAAGCTACATATACAATTAACCTTGGTTAACTAACCTCAATTAACTTTAAACTGAAATTAACTCCTTAACCAGAGTTAATCTCAACAAACTTCTCCTTAACTCGCGTTAAGGAGTCTCAATGACCTCTAAAACCTATATTATTACCCAGTGGAAAGTTCTAGACGGAAACCTATCACAAGGTACCTCTTTAAACAAGAGTTAATTAAAACTAAGTCGTAGCCATAAGAGTATAGAGTAACAATATATAGAGCTAACTCAACAATCTCACCTTAACTCATGTCAATGAATTTCAGTCACCTCTCTAACTTATATTATTCCTCTCATACCAAGATAGAGTAATAATATACAAAGGTAACTCAACAATCTCACCTTAACTCATGTCAATGAATTTCAGTCACCTCTCTAATTTATATTATTCATCTCATACCAAGATAGAGTAATAATATACAAAGGTAACTCAACAATCTCACCTTAACTCATGTCAATGAATTTCAGTCAACTCTCTAACTTATATTATTCATCTCATACCAAGATAGAGTAATAATATACAAAGGTAACTCAACAATCTCACCTTAATTCATGACAATGAATTTCAGTCACCTCTCTAATTTATATTATTCCTCTCATACCAAGATAGAGTAATAATATACAAAGGTAACTCAACAATCTCACCTTAACTCATGTCAAGGAATTTCAGTCACCTCTCTAACTTATATTATTCCTCTCATACCAAGATAGAGTAATAATATACAAAGGTAACTCAACAATCTCACCTTAACTCATGTCAAGGAATTTCAGTCACCTCTCTAACCTATATTATTCCTCTCATACCAAGATAGAGTAATAATATACAAAGTTAACTCAACAATTTCATCTTAACTCATGTTGAGTAAACATGATCACCTCCCTAACCTAAATTATTACTCCGCGGGAAGTTCTAGACGAAAACTTATCACAAAGTTCCTCTTTAAACAAGAGTTAACTAAAACTAAGCCGTAGCCATAAGAGAATAGAGTAACAATATACAGAGGTAACTAAGAACCATATCTCTCGTGCTCCTTATGCACAACTTGCATAGTAGCATAGTGTCGCCTGAAACTCTCCAAAGGAATAACTTTGGTCAACGCATCAGCTGGATTGAGTTTACCATCAATCTTGACCAGCTCAATTGTTTTATCACACACTTCTTGTATAATAAAGTGATACGGGATGTCGATGTGCTTTACTCTGCTATACATGACTTGGTTCGCAGCCAAATGTAAAGCACTCTAACTATCACAATGAAGATTGACCACGCCTTGTGTTAATCCCATCTTCATGATAAGCTTACCCAACCAAATAGCTTCCTTTGCCGCTTCTCATGCTGCCACGTACTTAGCTTCTGTTGTTGACTTAGCTACACACTTCTGCAAAGTAGATCTCCAACTAATGCTTCCGCCGCCAAGTGTAAACACATATCCAGTTGTAGATCTCCTATTGTCTAAATCTTGTCCGTAGTCAGCATCAACGTAGCCAAACAAGGACTTAGCATTGTCTAACAAGCCATCAAACAATAAGCCATAATCCAAAGTATTCTTCAGATATCTCAGAATCCGTTTCAATGCTTCACGGTGAACTTTTCCTCGATTCGACATGTACCTCCTCAGCTTCCCCATTGCTAGAGCAATATGAGGCCTAGTGCACACTATTAAATACATGAGGCTGCCTACAGCTTGTTCATAAGGAACACATGACATTCTTCACTTTTCCACATCATCTATAGGACATTGAGCTGCGGAGAGTTTAAGATGTGCCGGCATATGAGTCTATACTCCTTTCGAATCGGCCATGTTCCTGTCAAGTATACGGTGAACATACTTGCCCTAACTCAGCCATAGCTTCTTCTGTTCAAAATCTCTATGAATATCCATGCCTAGTATACTTCTTGATTTCCCATATCCTTCATCTTGCAAACTTCAGCTGGCTCTTGCATTCATCGACATCGGATTGGTTTTTTGCCAAGATAAGCATGTCGTCAACGTAGAGTACTAAAATGATGAGATTGAAATTCTCATCATCCACCTTCTTCATATAGACACAAGGATCATACACGCTTCGTAGAAAACTTGTGCATTCATAAACTCATCAAAACGTGTATTCCACTCCCTATGAGCTTGCTTAAGTCCATACAATGATTTCAGTAATTTACAGACCCACCTTTCTTGGCCATTGACCTCAAAGCCAATTGATTGTCTCATGTAGATCTACTCTTCTAAATATCCATAAAGAAAAGCTGTAACCACATCCATCTGATCCATAACAAGACTGAATGTTGCGGCCAATGCACATACCATACTAATTGTAGCGTATTTTGCTACAGGCAAAAAAACTTTGTTATAATCGACACCCTTTTCCTGTGTGAAACCTCTAGCCACCAATCTAGCTTTGAGGATTCTTGCCTCATCTCCTACTAGATTGTCTTTCAGCTTGTACACTCACTTGGACTCAATCACTGTCTGATTTT